TAATTTTTTGCTAATTTTATTTTTATATTATATATTTGCTTTTGTAATTTTTCGTATATTGTCTTCGTCTTTGTTACCTTTATTTACGGACTTCCTCGCTTGTGGTCGTTCAAGCATCATGTCAACACCTTTTAACCTTGAAATCGTGCACGACAATTTTCGGTGTATTGCTCTCACTTGCTGCCTTAATTTCGTATAATCTTCAGCCTTTTACACGCTTTTTGCTCAAGTTTCGGCTTGAATGTCGCTACGTCCACTTGTTATGTGCCAACGCAAATTAATTGTTTATATACATACATATGTATATAGTATAATATATATACAAAAACATATATACATATCGTCACCTGAAATGCAAAATAACGTAACAACATTTTTGGAAATTTCCATGGCATGAATGAACAGGAAATAAAATGGAACATGAGTGAAAAAAAATTTTCATATTGCTTAAAACTGGTTTATATCTGAGGGCAGAACTTGAAAATGTTGAACATATGTAATATTATGTATGTAATTTGGAGTAGTGAAGCGTAATCAATAAGACAYGCWATTTCGATTTTTTTGATGATACGTTATTTTGCATTTCAGGTGACGATATACAAGTATGTGTATATTTGCTCATTACTTTTTTCAAGTATTATTCAATTAAGTGCAATATTTTATTTCCTGAAATTTAATCTTAATTAGATTTAAAACATATTGATGTTTGTACCATATAGTATACTGAAATACAATATATATCGACCATGTACGATATGAATTTGCCAAGTTAATTTCCTTCATTTGTTGAACCAAAAAACATTAATTGCAAGTAATTTACTTTTTTTGCGCAAAAGAGTAAAAATTCCGAAAAAAATCTGTAAATGTGGCTATGCAATTTTGTCTTATGACACCGAAAAAATGACTGCCGCTACGCGAGCTGGATTTTCAAAAAAAAAAAAACCTTTTAAAATTGAACGCAATGAAACTATAAATCAATTCTATAAATCATATTTTGACAGTTTTACGTATTTAAAATTATTTTCTAAATTTTATAAAGTATTTTTGAATATTTTATGGATATTTTATGCTATAAATCATTTCTATCCTCTTCATAATTAGCTCATTTCAGTTAAACCTCACAAAAATTAAYCCAATATAAATAACCGTCTTAGTCCCGGCTTATAACACTTTAGAGCATCGACTATTGACGCAACCCGCGAAGCCGATTTTCGCCTTTTAACAGCSACAGAAAATCACAGGTTGCTTAAATGGCGAAAAGGCGGCGGTGGGTTGATACTTCGTACACAAAAAAACAAACTACGAAACTATAATACCATTCACTGAAGCATTTTTTATAGCTTAAGAAGGTATAAAAAGACTTTATCTTAATTTTGATTGCTCAGTTTGTGAAACAGATATATCCGATGGACGATTTCTACTTAGATTGAGCGTTGCCTTGAGTGATCCATTTCGAGGTTCCTTCCTTTTTTAAATACAAGCACAGAAACTTTCAATTTAATAGGGCATATTTATTATCTCTCGAGAGATCATTCCATGCCATTTATTTCTTGTAAATCATCTCATTCAAATGTTGGCCGTTGCTACTTCCCACATGGTTCTACCGTTGAGTCCAATTTTCGATGACTCATTMGAGCATTTCGACTGTTAACTGGCAAATRGCACGCTTTAAACCAAGATCTGAATCGAATCGTGATTGTCCGCCAAATTTTGTGAGTACAACTTGTCAAATAAATATATTTTCCAAGACAATAACTTGATATTGATCGGCCAGCTTGTATGACAACTATATGACATGGTATTCCGATCAGTACAATATATCGGGAGATTGTAGTATTGCCTTAGACTACAATCCATGCTAGATTTCGGTCGTTCAGTTTCACTTGATACCAGCCGTTCAGTTTGTATGTCAGCTATGTATATGTTATATTGGCCTGATATCGACGGTTCCGAAAAATTAACAACTACTTAGCGAGAAAAGAAGATGCACGAAAGTTCAGATTGATATCTTAAAAACTGTATCTCGTATATACAGAGAGAGAGAGGGATGGATACGGCTAACAGAGCTTAGCTTGTCACGCTGACTATTTACATAGATACAGCGGACATTGGCAGGACCAGTCTTTTATCGGAATGCCGAACAGTTAGGGTCGTATGCGAGTAAGTTGTTTAGGCATCGAATGCGTTTAACTGGGTATTAGGGTTAGATTCTTGCGTGAATAGTGTGTGCGTGGAATGTGCGTATGGGGTTCAACCCCTGATCACTAGTCCAGAGCAGTATGGAAACTCAATTTGTATGTATTCAGTATGGAAAAAATTTTGATACGACGTGGAGCAGGAACCCTTAGATGTCGGTCCAACCTGCGCATGAAGACTCAACGACCCTCAGGGAGTATCGTGGTGGTTGTGGTTAAAATCCGAATACGGAAAGAACCGACACTTTGCAGTTGAATGTGGAGTTGCATTCCAACCGGGTGCYTGACCCAAATTACGGCAGAGGTTTGCCAATTGGTACTGAAAATAGCTGTCATTAGGACTTCACTTAAGCATAAGTATATGGAGTGTACCTGGTTTGAGGGTCTCCACTATTTACTGTGGATTTTCACCAGCATCCCGTGAGGCGAATTTTTTTCAACAGTAAAATCATTCGCCATGGACTGCTTGGTGCCAGTATAAGAACTTCCCAACTAAGTTTGCGGAGCTTCTGGCCTAGCGTTGTTCGTGCAGAACACAATTATTTTCTCATTGGATGAAAGTGTCAATCTATCTGATCCATTACTATCCTCCAAACGGTCCAATTGTTTAAAAAAACCTAGTCCGTATTAAGAGTTTGGCCATAGGAAAACAACTCACAGTAGATCTTAAGTTCGCTATATCTTTGCAAAGTATTTTTGGACTTTACACTATTGCAAAAAGAAGTAAAAAATGGAGCTTTCTTAACTCCATTAGGCAACGTAGAAGTAGAGGCTTCTTAGCACTATTAGTGCCGCTTGGACAATGTTAACAACTTCTTTTTCCATCGGTATATTTAAGCCGTTTATTTATTATTATTCTCTACATATGTATTCTACACTTTTAAAACCTTGTTTGATCGAAAAAAACCGCCCACTTTATGACTAAGTAACTGAGTTCTAATATCACACCTTTTTTTAATTACAGGAAAACATCCAAACGAACTAACGAATTACGAAACAACTAATTTACAACCACCACAAAAGACCATACCATCGTACCACCAGCTGCCCGCAGACCTCTCCGAAGAGAGCATACGCAAAGAAGCCGCTTTGGTACTCGCACAAGCTGAACGTCATAAGAGYAAAGCCGAGAACGGCGATAATATACCCACATTTAAGGTACGTACGAAACGTAGCGGTGATCCGAACCCAAAGAAGTTCCACTCATTACCCACACGCAAAAAGAAATCGCCCGCTAAGCCAGTGTCGCGCAGCGTAAGTGACGCAGCTGCCAAAAAGAACRCGAAACGGCCATCAATATTCAATATCTTCAGTCGACGTAGCGACACGAATGTCAATCAAGTTGATCGTGATCCACGTTTCGAAGATAGCGGCGGTCGACGTTTAGTGCGTAGTAAAAGTGATGTTGGCTCTTACAATAAGGAAGAGCGTAAATACAAAAAAACTTTAAAGGAACCCAAATCTAACGCTGCTGCACAGGGTGGACTGCAAACATTAAACAGTTCCAGTAAACAACAACTTRTCAACACACCACTGAGTCCCATAATTGAGAACGCGCAGAAGGAGGACTTTTTTGCAGAGCAATTCAATAGAGAGCGTCGCAAATCGGAGGCTATAACTGAGCGAGAAAAGCATGAGAGTGGACTGAGTGAACTGCTCGAACGCAGTCGCATACAAGCCGAAGACGACGGTAATATTTTAGGCAAAGGCCATATATCACACGCGATACGCGATAAAATACTAAGCTTACAATCCAAATCACAAGACAATATGCATAGTTCACAGTTGCCGGCACAAAAGTTGCCGCTCACCAAAGGTGTCACCGTAAATGGCTTAGCGAAACGTTTGTCTATGGAACGCTTCTCACCACCGCCRCCGCTCTCCGGTCCAGCCTTCTCATATATACGCCCCAATGAAGGTATTATGTATGCGCAGTTGGATCATAACGAAGATGAAAATCGATATCGTCGCGAGTACATACACTCGCCCAACAGGGAATTGCGTACACCCTTACGTGAATATCGTTCACCAGCACGTGATATACGTGATATRCGCTCACCGGAACGTGAACTACAAACACCCACAAAGACGCTGGGCCGCCAGTCAGTCGACCGCACTGACTTYACTACTAGTCAAAACAATCTTAAGAATACCTACAACTACAATACGCATAACGGYCGTGTCGGAAACGGTAATGGCAGTCGTATTATTATTGAACAATCGACGACACGTGGTTCGCCAGGCACATATGGATCACCTAACGGCCAAGTAGGTCCCACTACTATACGCATCACAAACTCACACTCGCCATCACCATGGCAACAGCTCAGTCCACGTAATTTGAGCGATGAGGACGAAGGTTTGGGCATTGAAACACGAAAATACTACGAAGACGAGTCTACCGCGTTGACACAATCGCGCAGCAGCAAATCGCCTGCTGAGCCACCAATTATACCGGTCATACGTAGTATTACGCCAACGATCGAAAATGGCTACGATACGCGTGGCTATCAATCGCCGACACGTGATGAACCTATGMATGATATTGGATATCGGCGTGCACGTCTTGAGTCGCGCATACTAACGCGACGTTTCGGTGAGCCGACGACATTGGAACGTAATGGCTACCAACGTGATGTGGAAGCGTCACCGGAACGCTTCGAACGCAATGGTTATCMACGTGATACAGGCGCATCACCAGAACGTAATAGAGAAGTACGCGAGCAGTCCGCATATCAGCGCTACCTCAGTCCCGAACGCGAGAGAGAGTCATATGAACCACGCTTCCATAAAATGGAAACTTCGGAAATATTAAATAAATATTCGCCAGAACGCTCACATCTGGATATCATTGCACCAACAACGGTGCCGGTTACAACACCATTGATGGAGAAAACGTCGCGTTATAAGCACACAAAATACTATGACGACGGACGTGGCGGTGTAAAAGAAGTTTATGAACGAGAAACACACTTGGATGCCGATGGAAAACCACATGTACGCGAGACACGTCACCGTGAACGCATGGACGGCTCTATGGAACGTCAGCAACTGCAGGACTATGAGCCGAAGAGCTYGGACTCACAACTAACAAGTACAGATCAATATCGCTCCTCACCCGAAAACATGAAACGTTATGAAATGAGCACGGCAAACACACAAGATTGGCATGGCAGTAGTTTGAAGCGTGACAAGCTACAACAGCGCAGCTTCGACAAAGGAGACTCCGGTATTGAGAATGACTTCCGCAAGGAATCCTTCAATGGCGAGCTCACATCCAGGTAAGTTTGCTTAGACATTTTTTTTTATTGATTTCATGCTAATTCTAATAATATATGTTTTGCACGCAGATGGCGCAAACGCACCATTGCCGACGACATAAAAGCCTGTGAAGCTTTTCTGCGTAAAGAGCGTCGGCACATCGAGCAGCTGCATGTCGCACGGCGTCGAGATAGTTATGTCTATCGTGAACGATCCATCGATGATGGCTCACATTACGATCCACACTTAGACAAATATCCCGCTGCTACGAGTACGCTGCGACGTAAGGATCAGCAGTCACAGACGGCCGGCACGGAAACGCTGAAACGCAACAAAAAGCTCGGCGGTTTCGAAAAGGTGAAGCAACTCTTCACCGGTGGCAGTGGCGGCGGTGGCGGTAGYGGCAGCGGCAGTGAAGGTGGCAAGTCGGGCAAGAAGGATGGCGAGCGGCAAGCGCGCGGCAACAGTAGTACCGCCACCAGCAGCAGCGTGCAGACCACAAGAACGGGCACAGCCAAAGACAAAGACAGCAGTGGTGGCGAAAAGGAGCGCCCACGTTACATGGTCAAGGAGGAGGAGATGCGTTCGCGTTACAGTGAGCATCGCGGAAGTGCCGGTTCGGCAGCGTTAGCAGCAATGCTGCACGACGACGCGTTGCGCGAACCAAAGGTGAGTAGCAAACGAATTGCGTTGATGAGAAAAACGTGTATGTCTAATTAGAAAATCATTAACAAACGCCGATTGTAATGGCAAGTTCAGTATCCGCACTAATATGCGAGCTTTGTAATTATTAACGTATTGATATTTAATTCAATGGACCGCTTGGGAACTTTTTACAGCGCGGGCATATTATCCCTTGGTTTTGCGGCGCTGTCATRTCTGGTTACATTAAAAAAACAGCGGCAGCACCGCTCAATAAAAAGCCTGTCTGCATGCGCTGAATTCTATTGTTTGCCCACTTTTTATCTAATCCATTCAATGAAAATGTCTTCTTATCACACGCACACTTAGGCGCTCGCATATCTGCCTGCGCAAGTGTCAATGTGTTGATTGCTGTAACTTGCGTAATACTCGCAATGAAGTTTACTTTTGAAACTATTCAAGCAATTCAAGTATTTGAATGACGTAACAGCTATCGCTTCTTCGACAGCTACGCTTCGTCTGCGCTTGGTGTTGGCGCKCATCACAAACATGCAACATAAACACGTATGCCAGACAATAGATGGACGACTACAAGTATGGTAAACATGAATATTTATTTGCAAAGACAGTGTCAGTCCATGAACATATTTTTGGCTCACACTGGTTTGTTGAATCTAGAGGCAACGATGCCACYACTATCGATAGCATGCAACTTTATAAAATATAGTTGGAATATTTGAGGTGTGAGTTGAAATGTTACCTTCTTCTTCACTCGCACGACAATTATTCWTTGGAGATTCCAAGTGCAGACAGGTGCTTCTACATCTGTCTTTTCAACGAAGTGGATACTGCGTCTAATACTAATGCTGGTTCCAAGATAGACGAAACTTGGTTAAGAGCTTTTTACTCATAATTTCGAAACTTTGTGCAGTAGAAAAAATCGGCCTAGGCTAGGTTAGGTTATGAATCTCACTTAAAAGATATTTGTCGTTTATATCTCCCAAAAGTCTTTTAAAGTRCATCAACTTATGAATTGACGAAGCGCTTTGAGCTTAAAACAAAGTCGCTTAATACCAAACCCAGCCACTTCGCTATATAGATTCTCCAAAGGTATGTCTACCGAGATATTTCGATCCCAGTCAACTTATGGCGGAGCAAAAGAGGAGAGAGAGTGATAAGGTGATTCCATTTCAACTTGCTCCATACAGCTTTGGCCAAGATCGTCTAACAAAACATTTAGTCGCATCGCGTCCGCTATTGGGCAGTGTTTAGTCAGAGCATCTACAATAACGGCGAAATTGCTATTGTTGTCGTCTTATAGTTCACTTTGGGTCAGAAAGATCTCGAACCAACGCCAAGTTCACTGGAGGTCCGTAGATCCAGCGCAAGACATGACTTTGTTGAAGTAGTTCGGAAGATCTCTTACGGTTCACTTTGAGCCTGAAGGATCTCCTAACAATGCCTGCCATGTTATCTGAAAGTCTATAGATCCAGTGTAAGTGCACATCGATCTTCTTGTGGTCTGTCCTTCTTAGCAAACACATCAGTTTCCAGCGATTCCATTGCGACCTATTCTAATATGGAAAACATTTTAAGCTATTAATGAGTTTACTAGTTTCCAACGMCCAGTCAGCGATCTCAAAGCCGCTAGGCTATCAGAGTGAATACACAACTATCTGAATGAGCCACCTTAATGCCAACCACCTCCGCTCAAATGACGCTGCACTGGTCTGGTATACTGAAACTTGAGTTTATGAAAAGCTCTCGAAGAACACTCCCTCTCCTACTCTCCTCTTAATTTCGATTCATCCGTGAAAGAAGCTTACTACACCTTTTCTTCAACGTCTTCGCCCCGCTCACAATTACCACGTAGGTGTAAAGTCACAGAAATAACCGTCGGGTGAATTGATCTAGATTGAAAAGAATGCAATCGGGGTCCCTCATATACCCAGCTTTTATAGATTAGTAAAATGTTTTAAGTATCAAAAACTTTTCGACTGTAAATTCTGAAGTCATCATTTTATTACCTTATGAAACAGAAATAACTTCAAACAAACAGAGACTTTCATCCTTTCCAAAGTGATCAATTCCCTCTGTTCTGGTTTTATGTACTGCTCAACTACACGTACCCACAATAATGTCTGTCACTGTATGTAAGCATAAGGTAGGCATGAACTGGCGGCAAATTGCTTCCTCATGCCGTGTTGGCGCTCTGGACGCACATCACAGCGGTGTGGCCGACCGCCTCCGTAGTGCACTGACCGACAGCACTTGATGTGAGGCGCTACTTGCGACACAGCGCCTCTTTATTTCATTGTATTGGGTGTCAGACTTTTACTACTTATGCACCGCCTGCCGCCTATCGCACTTCCGCAGCCGCAGTCGTAGCCCATTATAAAGTGGCATGCAAATTGCTATCTGGTAACGTGTTGCAATGCGGTGCGGCATGATGATTGTGCGCTTGTAGGAAGGTGACGCTGCATGCCGCMTGTTGCATGTCGCACCTACAACTAACGAACCAGCATCAGTGCGCGCGCAACAATTCAAAGCAAAGCATCATCATTTCCACTTCAGTTTTCTCGTATTGCTGCTTCTTCTTCTTCTCACTGATTTTGTTTTACTTTGCCGTTTGTGTGCATTTTTTCTTATGTCTAGTTAAGGGCTTCGACATTTAAATACAGTTAGCTGTGCGCTAAGGAGACGCTCGTTGTGAGCCATGAATTGTTTGGGAAAGGTCGTTGCGGTCAGCTTATTGTGGCACAACTATTACCSTACACTCATAACTAACAAAGACACCACTCTTACGCAAGCAGTTCATTCTCTTTTTTTTTTATAGTTTTGATCAATAAGAAGTGTATAACGGTTGTGCACAGTTGCATATATGTAAACATCTACGCTTCAGCCATAATATGTAAATGCGTTTTACGGTAATCACGCTAGCAAATGATTGAAGAAGTGACGACATCGCAGACTCCGAAACAATTTGATTTTTATTGAAGTTAGATTGTGAAGTTTTTGACCCCGATTTTATACCACGTTAAGTCACGTTTCCGCATATATATCGTTGTTTGAAGTTTTACGYTTCAATCACTTACTGTTCCAAAAACTCGTAACCCCAATAATTGCTCCTTGACCGCTGAGTAGCTGAACCCGTAAATGGGAAAAGGACTACGTAACAATAAATATAGCTAGAAGGTGACTTGAAAGTTCGGTTCTTGAACCTAAGGCTATCTGCGAATCGTCTTACCTCATCTCACAGTGAATCAGCAATTGGAGGTCCTATCCGAATCAGTAGTAGTAAATAAGACTACACGATGAGTTTGAAAGTGCTGTCTTCGAACCTTCGATTAGTTCTGAAACGTGTTATCTCGTCTCTCTGTGCAAATGCTTACCGATGGACGAGGTGAAAGTTTTAAAGCTCGGTTTTCAAACCTAGTCTATCTCCGAAACCTCTTGTCTCGGGCCCAGCAAGTTTATTTCACTAACTTTACAAAATGTTAAGCTGAACAGGCAAAAAGAGATTATTAGACATGGACTCAATAACATTTAACATATTTCCCTCTGAAATGTGCGGCCAAGATTTCCGTAGGCTCAAACTTGAATAAAGTCTAGAAGGTTAGAGCAGATTTGGAGAAAAATGGAAGAAGTACGTTCTAGAAGCTCACCACTTTTCTGTGGAAGACCAGATGGGTATGGTTACATGTAATGATTGTCGAGTAAAAGAACTTCCATTCCAAAAAAAATATTACTTTTCATTATTGAGCTCTGGTATTACAGAAACAGGATATGCAAAGACTTTCAGTTATATTGCAAAAATCCCGATTTTTTCAAATGCTAAATTGAATGACAAAACGGCTTTACTGATATAAGTAAAAGAGCAAAGCTTTTACATTTTCTTGCTGAGCATTTGGAAGCCTCGAATACACATTTTTAGCGAGTCTTTTTGAAGCCGTGCGAACAGACGACATAGAGCCAGTACAAGAAATGAAAAAGCGTGGGAGAATTCCCGACCAACATAATTAAATTGCCATAAGTCTACACTTAGTTGAATTTAGAATACGAAATGGCTATATGATGAGATGAAAATGCAAAAAAAGAATCCACAGACTCAATGAAATAAAATCAAACAGACACAAAACATTTCTTTGTACAAGCCTCAGTCTCAGCCTCCGCAAACAGTCAACATTATTCTCTTTTTTTCTCTTTATAAATTTATGTAAAATATCAATAATGCGTGGTATCGATTATATACACATTTGTAMCAACAACAAAAGCGAATGCGAAATAAGTAACTGGAAGTGAGTTGCCGTTTTAATTCGCCCAAATGCTGTACTCCACATAGGTGAATCCGTAAAAAATCAATTTAAATAAAAACTGCTAAGTTGGCGTGAAGTGTTAAGAATATACTTACGTATATATGTACATACAAAAAATGTATATATATGTACCACATAACTGATATGCGTTGCTGTAATACGAGTATTATGCCCAAACGCCCACAGAGTAGGCCAAAGTCTTCGGACTGCGGCTATTGAACTGCAAAAAGCCAACGAAACCAAATTGGTACAAATATAAAGTCTGTAAGACCAAGTGACAAAGATCTACTCATATTTACTATTAGGCARGATCGATGCTAGTGGATGCGACCATGAAATAGATGGGAACATTGACACCGCGTAAAAAATACTCTTCGCTACTTTGACCAACTCTTGAATTGCTAAAGTAGAATTAGTTAAGTTTCTTGATAGAAAGAATCTAGCAATATGTTCAGTTGGGAACCGAAAAAGACTATTTTTATCTCTTCTTCTTTATTTGCGTAGCCGAGTTTGCAACAGCGTGTCGGCCTTTCTTCCTTTTCGCTGTTTGGTGCCAAGTGGAGATTCCAAAGGTGTCCTTCTTCTGGTCTTTCCTGCGGAGTGGAGATCTTCCTCATTCTTTGCTTTCCCTGGCAACAGTGTAAAATGAATTTAAGTGAATTTTAATTGAATTGCACATTTTATATTAGGTATATCTTGAGCGGTTATGTA